ATCCTGATAACCCCTCGTTGGCGCCGACACTATGACGTCTCCGATCAGCATCAGCCGACAATGCCTTCGGATCTCCATTCATCTCCTCCTTCTCCTTCCTTCATTCGCGACCATGTGAGGCTTCACCCACCGCCAGCCACTTCGCAAACTAGAGCGCCACCCCTATTGCACCTCCCTTCGGCGCCGCCAGTCATCGAAGCACCATCACCTGACGTCGTGTACAACCAAAGAGGGTCACCGAAGTCGGAGCCTTGAACGTAGATGCTTGGGCGATGAACAATGGGAGCCGGTGATTCGTTCCTTCTCGTGCTCCATCGCCGCTATTCTCCCCCTATTTTCTCTCCAACCATTAGTGTCGGTGCTGCTATTTGCTTGAAGACGAGCATCGCGGGTTCGCGAGTTATCTGCTTGGGGTTGCGTAACTACCAACGTGAGACCTCATGCGTCACCACGGGGTGGCTGAGACCATTTTACAACATAAAACGTAGGTGTGTGTGTCTATTGCAGTTATGTGGTGTTTGGGTATTGTCTAGCCGGAATTCTCAAAGAACAGCCACCACCACCGTGAGGTGGTGGCAGCCACCGCATGCCACCGTCGACCACCACAATGGTGGTTGCGTGTGTATGTTTATTTAGTGTAGTGTCTGTGTTATTTTGTGAGTTCATTTTAAAAATTGTAAAAAGCCAAAGGAATAATGGACGTAACTCAAAACCACCACCGTAAGGTTGTAGAGACATAAGAACATTGTTTGGCATGCGGACTTAGGGGGTGTTTGGCTTAGCTTTTCAAAGCCAAAATTGCTTTTTGGAAAAGAAAAAAAAAAGCAAAAGATGTTTGGCAAACAAGTTTTAGAAGCTACTTTTGAAGTTTTTACATAAGGAAAAGGAACTTTTTGGAAAAGTCAGGAAATCCTGACTTTTTGTAACTTTTCCAAAAAGAACTTTTGGGGTTTGAAAAGGTAAGCCAAACACCCACTTAAAGTTTGCACAGTGAACATGGTGATTTGGGTGTTCAAGAGATGTATTGATTATGTATGGTGTTACATAAAAAGGAATCTAGATCTAGTCTACATAAATAACACACACTTACACACTCAACTTTTACATCTCTCAAACACACCTTTACAAGTGGTATGAACCCACCTTATATAGAGGTGTTTATATGTCTTTCTCTCACTCTCACTAACGCATGGGTCTAAAGGCTAATGCATCACATGCAAGTGGGTTTTACAAAATTCAAACAATTACAAATTCAATTATGAATAACTTTGTACCCCAACATTCTCCCCCTAAAAGTTAGGAATGATGACCCACTTCAATTCTTCCAAAATCGAGAAACTACGCGGTCCGAGCCACAAAGGTGACACATGTCGAAACGAACTTCAATCTTCAATACTTCCATGATTCTTCAATTTGTGCTCTAGGATGTGAGACCATACAAACCGAGCATCAGCGAATGATCACGAGCTTCTCAAACTCTAAACTGATCACCCAAAAGTTGAGCATAAAAACACACCCCAAAAATCTTCAATGATTCCAAACCCATTTCAAAAATAAAGCATTTCCGAAATTCCAATTGCATCATTTCGTAAGCTTCAAAAATTCAAGGTCACTTCGGTCATCAAATCTGCGTAATATGAAAAATTCAAGTTCGAATTCCAATATAAATTTCTCCCCATTTTTATAAACGAAATTTGATTATAAAACCTGCAAGGAAAGAGAACGTGCTCTATTCGGAATTTTTTGTATCAAAACTCCTCTTTAACATGTGACATAAACTTTGTGCTTCAATCTGGAAAACCCAAAAAATATTCAATTTTTATCTTCGTTCACGGATCGCCTTTGACAAAATTTCTCAAAAATGGGTAGAAATTATCAATTTCAAAATTCTGCAGTGGCCCGGTGCGCCCAAAACAGCAAAATATGCAAAACTCTCCCCGTTTTCCAAAGCTGGGTAGAAAGCGTCAATTTGCACAAATTACAAGGGCATGAAATGTATTTTCTTCAATATTCAGCAAAATCAATCCTTTTTTCGAATTTGGGTACGAACAGCCAAACATTCGAAACCTCAGGAAAATTCTGTCATTTGTCTTCAAATCATAAGAAGAGTAACCCCAAATATACGATGAAACAATTTTCGAAGTTGGGTAAAAAGTGAAACATCCAAAACTTCTATTAATTTTCGAAGTGCCATATATTTGATGGTACAGGGGTTGAATTCGAAACACTGTCATTTGTTCACATCATACGTAAGCTTTATCAAACATTTTTTAAAATTTGTCAAACTTTCACAACTTTGATGACCATTTTCGAAACTTGTTATACCCTTCGCACAAATTCCAAACACCCCTTCGTTCAAACAAACACCATTTTAACATACGCAACATACGAAGCGTTACCCAATGAACCGTAACCTCTTAATCATCCATCTGAATCTACTGTAGATACCAACATCAACAATCGATTCATCGTATCTTCAAAATCTAAACACAGAAACCCTTCGTTATCATTTAATCATTCAAAACGAAAACATGGATTTTTTTACTCCATAGCACCAACGATCGACTCTCGACAGTGATCCCATCTCTTCGACTCCAAGCACATAGACCCTTCGTTTTCCATATACGAACACAGCTTTGCTTTTTCATTCAACATCATATCGACGGTTTATATCAAACAAATCCAGCAATCGATTCCTATTACTCTCGAAATCAACAATCAATGTGCTTCACCTGTTCGTTATCAATCCTTGACAATCGTAATTGATTTCCATTTGAAATCGGTTAAATAACAAACCAAAATCAATTTCAATTTTGACTTGTCACAACTGCGTTTGACTTTCACGCAAGAGATATTTGACACGAATGATCAACTAAAATCAACGAAATCATCATTTACCAAGACTCAATCAACAAATATTAGTAAAATTGAGTTCGATTTGATGCTTTAATGACTCAAGCGAAGTTCAATTTCAATCAAAATTGATTCCATATGAATCGTATATGAATGAGAAAAGTTACTAGAACTGTTTTGAGCTCGATGTGCAGTTAGCATCACAGATCAATGGTAACAAAATCAAGATAAAACAGAATCGATTAAATCATGAATGATGACTAGATAAAAAAAAATAAGCTCAATGAATCTGTTTGAATTATCATTTGACTATCAACTTGGGCTTCCAATGGATCAATTGATCAATAAAAGATTTTATATTGAGCTTCAATTATATGAATAGTAATCAATTTAGAATTTGTTTTTGGGCTTGAATAATCTGGTGAACAATGAAAGATTAAGGATATTGGGCTCATAAATTGTTTTCGAATGAAAAAAAAAATTTTAATCAAATGATTTTGAATTTGTTTTGGGCTTGATCAATGAAAGAAATAGATTGGATCTACAATTGGGCTTGAAACAAATTCGATCCAACAGAGACAAAATGATCAAAAAAATCAAGAACGCAATGCATGAATTCAATAGAATTAAGAGAGATCATAGAGAGAGACTCACCAAAAATTCTTCAATTGTGACAAAAGTTGTCAAACCGAGAATCGTTCATCAAAAATCACCTTGATCTTAAAGACCCGCTCTGATACCAATTGTAGAGACATAAGAACATGGTTTGGCATGCGGAATTAAAGTTTGCACAATGAACATGGTGATTTGGGTGTTCAAGAGATGTATTAATTATGTATGGTGTTACACAAAAAGGGATCTAGATCTAGTCTACATAAATAACACACACTTACACACTCAACTTTTACATCTCTCAAGCACACCTCTACAAGTGGTATGAACACACCTTATATAGAGGTGTTTACATGTTTCCCTCTCTCTCTCTCACTCACTCACTAACTTATGGGTCTACGGGCTAATTCACCACATGCAAGTGGGTTTTACAAAAGTCAAACAATTACAAAGTCAATCATGCATTACTTTGTACCCCAACAGAGGTGGTGGCTGCCGCCACTAACCGCCGTGCGGGTGGCAGTGTGTTTATTTGTGTTTGATTCGTCCAGGATGTATGAAACCCTAATGGGCCTAGTGAAACCCTAATGGGTCCAATGGCCTCGAATTGACCTAAGGATAACCCTAATGGGCTTAAGGACCTGGTTTTGGGCCTATTAGGCTAAGATGAGTTAGAAACCCTAATTAGGGTTTGGAAAACCCTAATGCCATGAAACCCTAATTTGGGACTCATCGAGACCGCATTGGGATTATTTAATGAATTTAATATAATAATTAATAATCATTTGCAACCAACCTAAGTCAATATTGGACTGAATGGATTAAGTCCTTAATGGGTTAAGTAGGAAAACTTAACCCTAATCATCATTTTATGTGAACCCCTAATTTCACTTGGGCCTTAAGTTAGACCTTTCCATTGGGCTTTGGTTACATGATTATTAATGGGTCATCCAAGAATAATCATATGGACTCTAGTATATGTTGATGGGCTTAGGGTAAGGCCCATATGAGATTTTGGGCCTAATTTGGAAAATTGGGCCATAGTTTGGGCCTTAAGGATTATATAATATTGGGCCATTAGAATGCCAAATGTTTGGATTGGACTAAATGGTTGGGCCTTTAAATGAGACCATGTAAAGGTTGGGCCCAATTTTGAAAATTAGGCCATATGATTGGGCTTTGGCCCAACTTGGACTTTAGGTCTTTAGAGTATGATTTGGACCTTGGGCTTGGAACTCAATTATTAATTAGGTGCTGTTTGATGTTGAAAGTTCGGGAGCCTGTCAACCAACAGCTAGAGTTTTATCTGTGGGATTTCAGTAGTGCGAGGTGAGTCTTCTCACCATACCAATGGGTCTAAGGCACCAAGGCCGGCCCATTTTATGATAGTTGGTATGCTTGCTATGTATAGGTGTGTGATATGTATGTATGCATGATATGCGATAGAAATAGCCTTTGAGGCTAATGGTAGAGACAGCCTTGATGGCTGATGGTAGAGATAGCCTCTATGGCTAATGGTAGATATAGCCTTATGGCTAATGGTAGAGACAACCTTTATGGATGATGGTAGAGATAGCCTTGTGGCTAATGGAAGAGATAGCCTTTGTGGCTAATGGTAGAGATAGATGCTATAGCTAGTTGATATGTGATATGTGGTAGCGGTAGCTCTTATAGTTAATTGATATGTACTGCGTTGTAAAGATAGCTTTTGTAGCTAACATGATATGTGGTAGAGATAGCTTTTGTAGCTAATGTGTTATGTGGTAGAGATAGCTTTTATAGCTAATACGATATGTAGTATATGGTAGAGATAGCTTTTATAGCTAATACGATATGTGGTATGCGGTAGAGACAACTTTTAAAGCTAATATGTTATGTGTTATGTGGATTGTGTGTGGGGGATGCTCTAGGGGACTCACTAAGCTTAGTGCTTGTGGTTTATAGTTTCGATTTCAGGTATCGTCGATTTGGAAAAGAAGGGCTCAGATTGATCGCAGTGCACACACCTATGATTTCGCAATGAATGATTTTGGGACGAACTCTGATAAATGTTTTAATTAACAATGTTTGGAATGTTTGGAATAATTGGTAACTATGTTTGGGTGAGATTAAAAATGAAATTTTTACCCCTGATTTTTGGGTCGTTACATCTCTGATAAGAGAATTGTGAAGTTCAACAACATTTGTAATAGCTACGGCAGCAACAATATCAACCTTCATAATGAGAGTTGAATAATTGCGATCAAGATTAACAACCTCCTTATCCATTTCAGAAGGAATTTCTTCAATGTTCAAATTGACATCCTCTTGTACTTGTTTCACTGCCTTAACAAAAAGAACATGTCTATCTTTTGCAATGATTCGCAAATCCTTTACTTCATGAACAAACGAATCAGGCTGCTGCTTCATACATTTTTCATTTTTCATATCAAATTGTTCCATCAAAGCTTTCAAATGGATTTCTTGAGCTTTGAGCATGAAATCAACCTCTATCCCATATACACTATTTCTATTACCAACATCATCTTGAAGTTGCAACAAAGAGTTGAGATTTTGATTGAGGATTTTGAATACCTTACCAAACATAAGCTTGTGATCAGGAATGTTCTCTTCTTCATGATCAAATTGTATGTCAAGAAAAGAAACCATATAATCATCATCATCTTGACCAACATCTGAGGTAGACTTTGGACCATCAGTGGATTGTGAAGAAAATAAAGATGTGATAGGTTGAACCATGATGTTCGAGAAGGTTGATGATATGGTAGAAGTAGGTAAAGATGTGGGTATGGTTGAAACAAATGGTGGTAGCGAAGGGGATGTATCCAAAGTAGTGGTTTCAAATGTGGATGAGAGAATAATTGAAATTGGAACAGATGAAGTTGTAACAGTTGAAATACCATGGGCTTCATGTGTCAGCACCCCTTCACCCATATTGACATTTATGTCTATAGTATATATGTCCACAGGGATGCCTAAAGTTCGAACCTCCTCCATATTGGACTTGGCAGTCGAAACCTCGGTAGGTAAATGACGATTTACCAATTTCCACCATGAAAAACGAAATTTATTATTAAGTTTTAAATGAATTAAAATTCCTAGATTCTTTTGAGATTCATTGAACTTTTCAATGGCATGTTTAAATCTCGATTATGCACTTCAAATTTATCACTGGGATGTCGAGGATCACAAACAAGGTGTGAATAACCATGCAAATTAGCTTGGTACACTTAATGTTACATATCACCTAATCAATCTTTCGGTAAACCACACACGCTCCATTGATCCATGATTAACATCAACCTACCCTTTGCCACACATTTTCAGTCCCAAATTAGTGTGTCGGTTAACCACATACGCTCCACTAACAACTTAATTAACGGGGTTTTGAGCATTCTAACACTCCTAAGGTGTGCATTCAACCCTAGATAGAATGACATACCTTTCTTGTAGCTTGATTCCTTAATCCTAAGGTGTGCATTCAACTTAATTAACGGGGTTTTGAGCATTCTACCCTTTGCCACACATTTTCAGTCCCAAATTAGTGTGTCGAGGATCTATGTTTTCTCTATTATACATGCAAACTTTCATTTTTCCAAGGTTTCATCCTAACTAGCATACTATGAAGTATATGTAATACAAAATTCTAGATAGAATGACATACCTTTCTTGTAGCTTGATTCCTTAATCCTTTAAGAGCCTAGCACCAATAGTGTGAATGCCTCAAATGGAACCACAAATCACCACCAACAAATGGAAGAATTGAGATAATATTACCTGCAAACAAAATCGGATATATGCTCTTCCAAAACTCACTAGTGATGATTTCATGTGCTAGAGGGTTTCTTATATAGTGTGGCTACATTAGGGTTACCCCATGCAAACCCTAATGTGCATGACTTTCTACATTCCTCATGCTCCATGGGTTTTAACCTCCCCAGAGTATCCATGGGTCACCACATGGGTTTAACCCAGTCGTAAGGAGTCAGGATTATTAGCCCATTTTATAAGAATGAATGATTTACACAATCAATCTCTATATATTTAATTAGTCTCTTTTGATCACAAAATTAATTCGAAATTAATTCTTGATCAACACTAATTAAATAATACGATTTCATATTAATAGATTAGAACTTATAATATATTAATAAACCATAAATAACCTCTTCTCAAAAAGTCCATCCATACAGATTGTTCTGGTGAAGTGCAACCCAAATGGATCATGCTACTCTCGGGTCAAGTACATACCAAATATAGTTATGGACTTAGACACATTATCCAACAGTCTCTGTAACGCCCCATTTCTGGTATGTAAATTTAATTAAAGTATCTTCATTTCCTAAGGAGTACTCGACGAGTTTGCACCCCGACTCGTCGAGTTGAAGCGGGATGAGCTCGCGATTTAAGTTGGTTACTCGGCGAGTCCATATGTTGCGACTCAACGAGTTTGCCTGTCTGGATGAAGCCCTAATTTCAAGGGTTTTTACCCTATTTAAACTTCATTATAGCCTCCCACCCCAGCCTACAACACCTTTAGAGCATTTCCCCTGTAAACCCTAACCCCCATTGTTGAGTTTGAGTGTGTTTGTGCTAGCTTGGAAGCTTTGGACGAGAAGGAAGGAAAGAAGGTCCATAGAAGAGAAAGGAGATCCAGGAGTTAGCTTCCATTTGTTTCTCATTCAGGTAATGAAGTTATTACCTTGTGTATTCCTCCATTAAACCCTATTTTATGCTTGTTATGTCTTCTTTGGAGCCTTTTATGATTCAAAACTTGAGATATGGACTCTCCTTTGGATGGAAACCTTAGATCTAGACGTTATTGAACTCCAGGAGCTCATTATTCCCACCTTTATGTAATCTTGGCCTTGTTCCAAACCCTAAGTGCTTAGTATTTTATGATTTTGGGTATTTTAGCCTCATACTCTTGTGCATGCACGTAAAGTTGGAAACTTTACGCGTAAAACCAGTCCTAGAAGCTCAGATCTATGATTTAGAACCACTGAAATCGATTAGAATTGACTATATAGTAATAGCATGCTTGGGACTCGACAAGTTATTCTTCAACTCGGCGAGTTGTTCTTCAGACTTGATGAGTTGTTCATACGACTCGGTGAGTCACAGACTGGACATGTTCATATGTTGAAGGAGAACTCGACGAGTTGTTCATACAACTCGGTGAGTTGGATGAAGTTAGATTCGATGTTAGCATCGAGGAAGAGCTCGTCGAGTCTTTGCCAAACTCAACGAGTAGAAGCAGGTAAAGGACTAGAATGGATGATAGGGACTCGGCAAGTTGACGGCCCAACTCGGCGAGTCCGGTCAACAGGAAGTTAACTTTGACCAGGAAGTTGACTTTGACTTGACCAGGGGTAAATAGTCATTTTACTCTCAGATTAGTTATCGGTATTTGATTTAGTGTTTATGGGATTTGTAGTAGAGGAGTTCCGGAGCAGCGGTCAGGCAGTTTCAGATTTGGCATCTCGGCAGCCAGCGTTACGAGGTGAGTTTTCCTTCTAGTAGGAACGGGTCTACGGCCACAATGTCGACCCGTCTAGTTAGCAGTAGTTCCGGACTTCGGTCTGATGCAGTAGTTCAGTGTGCTTGATGTCTGTGTGATTCAAGCATGTCTTTGTGTTATGTGTTCCGGACTTGGGTCCGATGCAGTATGCAGTATATGTGTTTATGCTAGTAGTTGTGATTATGTTATGCTATGTACAGTCAGTTTCCGGACTTCGATCCGATGCAGAAGTGTAACACCCAAAGTTTCAAAGACCAAGAAAGGAAAGAAAACCCTAAGTTTAGGGGTCGACTCGGCGAGTCCAAGGAGGGACTCAACGAGTCCGAGCGGGATCCGGGTCGGGGAGTAAGTGACCGACTCGGCGAGTCGACCAAGGAGACTCGGCGAGTCTGGTCTGTGCGAGGAAAACCCTAATTCTGGTAGTTGTATCCTATATAAAAGGGAGTTATGCCCCTCCCTCAGCCTCCATATCATCCTAGAGAAACTGTAAACCCTAGATTCGTGGGAGCCTCCATCATTTGAGAGAAATAGCTTTGGGGGAAGGAAATCTTGGAAGGGACTTGAAGATCAGGAAGGTGGCTTCAAAAGAGAGGTGTAGATCCAAGATCTACTTCAGTTTGTGTTCTTCTTGGAGGTATTAAGCTGCCATTTTCCCTTCCTTGCATCCAGATCTATTTTGTTATGAGTTTTGGGGGTTTTATGGTTGATTAAGACCCATTTCGAGTGGGAAGCTCAGATCTGAAGTTGCTACTCCAGATCTAAATGTATCATGGCCTAGAGACTCATAAAGCATGAGTTGTTGGGTTGATTGTTGAGCCCCTTTGTCTTAAACCCGAGTTTATAGTGTTTTGAGCCTAGATCTCCTCAGCCACACGTAAAGTTTGCCACTTTACGTAAGGAATAGACCTTAGAAGAGTGGATCTACAGTTTGGAGTCCATGCATGACTCAAAGGTCCTCTGCATGTATGTAGAACCGAATGGACTCGGCGAGTCCTTCGAGTGGACTCGGCGAGTAGCTTGAAGATGAGGAGGAACTCGACGAGTAGGATGAACAACTCGTCGAGTCGGATGAAGTTAGGCATGGACTCGGCGAGTTGGATGAACAACCCGACGAGTTGGTTGAAGATTGTCTAGGACTCGGCCAGTCTGTTCTTGGACTCGGCGAGTCAGATCGTGAAACCCTAAACCCTTCGAGTGGAGACTTGAATCAGTGAGTCGGGTGGTGACTCAGCGAGTTGGACAGGACAGGACTTGGACCTAGTTGGACTCGGCGAGTCATGGATTGACTCGGCGAGTCGAGTCGCGAATAAGAAAGACCCAGAGCAGATGAACTCGGCGAGTCAGTAGATAGACTCGGCGAGTAGGGTTGACCCAGAAGGTTGACTTAGGATTTTGACCTTGACCATAATTGACCTAGTGACCTTTGGAGGTCAGTTGGACTAAGTGTTATATTGATATTGGTAGCTTGAGGAGCTAGTGGAGCAGCAGTCGAAGTCAAAGGTCAGGTAGCAGTCAAAAGGATTAGCAGCAGCAGTTCAGCAGCATCAGGTGAGTTTCCTTCCAGTAGGGACGGGTCTAAGGCCACAATCCCGGCCCGTTCAGTTAGCAGAAGTTTCCGAACTTCGGTCCGATGCAGTAGTTAGTATGTTTGATGCCTTCGTGGCTCAGACAGGATTTATGTGCTATGTGTTATGTGTTATGTGTTATGTGTTCCGGGCTACGGCCCGATGTAGTATGCAGTATATGTGTTCATGCTAGTTGATATGTTATGTTATGCTATGATTTAGTCAGTTCTGGACTTCGGTCCGATGCAGGGGGCAAGGCCCTAGTTAGTCCGGACTTCGGTCCGATGCAGGGGACAAGGTCCCAGTCAGTTTCCGGACTTCGGTCCGATGCAGGGGGCAAGGCCCCAGTTAGTCTGGACCTCGGTCCGATGCAGGGGACAAGGTCCCAGTCAGTTCCGGACTTTGGTCCGATACAGGGGACAAGGTCCTAGTCAGTTCCGGACTCCGGTCCGATGCAGTTTCCGGGCTTCGTCCCGATGCAGTGGGCAAGGCCCAATATGTGTTTATATGTTATTGTATGGTATGTGGTAGTTTGGGGGAGCTCACTAAGCTTCGTGCTTACGGTTTTCAGTTTTGGTTTCAGGTACTCAGTTTTCAAAAGAGGAACTCGGGGAGATTGCAGTGCACACACCATAGTCAGTTAGCCTGGGAATGTTTGACTCTGATAATGATATTATGTTTTGAATTAATACTCGAGAATTTATGTTATGACTTATGATACAATTTTTATAATGATTCTAGTAATGCTTTTAAAGAAATTTTTTTTGTTGTCGTGATTTTTGGGTCGTTTCAAGTTGGTATCAGAGTCTTGGTTTGAGGGATTCAGATATGCATTCGAGTGTATTTGAACTCAAACTAAGGACACGATAAAGGATTTTTAAAAGAAAAACATTTTTGAAAAAGGGTTTTGG